AAAAGAAAATAAGAAAACCCCCAAACCAGTTAAAAATTATTAATTAGTTAATTAATTAATTATTATTATAATACATTATACAAAGTAGGTACAAAACCGGGGAGAAGCCGGAGCATCCGGCCAGGGGAGTGGGTTCGTGGGGAGGGAGGGAGGAAAAGCTGCTGGAAGATGAGAGCGGAGCTGGAGTTCCACCTGCTCCACCTGGAAAATCGATTTATTCCTTTTCCCCTTGGGATCTGGTGCCTCGTGCTTTGCGGGATTTGCCGGTGGGGTGGTGGAGGTGGGGGCAGGGGGGGGAATAGCACCTTTGGAAAATTCCCGAGCGGAGCTGAGCAGCAAAATGAAACAAAAATGAAGAAAAGGAGGGAAATAAACGGTGAAATCGAGGGGGGTTAGAACAGACCAAGCGGAGACCTCTTCGGAGGTTGTAGCACCAGGCGGTCCCGGGGTTGGGTGTTCCGGGGCCAAAATTAAAGAGAATATTTAAAAATAATAATTAAAAAAAAAAAAAACCCCAAAAAAACAGGATCAAAATCCTGAGGGAAAGAAAAACCTCCAAAGGAAAATCAAAATAAGAGAACAACAGAGCAACCGAAGATAAAAAAAGGGGGGAACACAAGTTGGGGGGGGGGGGGGGGGAATTAGCACCTTTGCTCTGAACCTGGCAGGAAAGTCCCGGCACGGCTGAAAAGCTCCGAACGAAGCTAAAAACCAAAAAAGAAGCCCAAAATTGAGACTAAAAGGACGCCGAAGGAGCCCGAGAGGGGTGAGGTAGCCATCCGGCCAGGCCGTCAGCGCAGCGGCGCCGGAGCTGCTCCGCGCCTCGGCAGGGAATCGCTTTGGCTGCCTGAATGAAAAAGAGAACCAACAACAAACGACGAACAGAGCAAAACCAACCAAACAAACAAACAAACAAAAAAAACCCCAAAAAACATGATAAAAGAGAAGCGGAACAAAAGGAAATCGAGAGAACTCCAAACCAGCGTTATCCGAATTAAAAATAAGGGGGAGAGGGGAGGGAGAACAAAGGAGAAAAAGCAAATTATAGCCAGGAGTTCGACATCTTCCTCGCAGCAGAAATTCGAATTGTGATGAGATGCAAGAAGCCAAGGGCGGGCGGGGAGGGCCTGGGGGTCCCGGGGGGCTCGGGGACCCTCGGGGAGCTGAGCTTTGCGGCTGAGGAATGAGGGGGGCAAGCAAGCGAACCCACTTCCTGGTGATTTTGTTTGAAAAAGTCATTTATTTGG